ACCAGTTGAACAACTCTAAATGTGTTAAACTGCATTCACAAATTTAATAATTTTGGTTTTTTAAAAAAAATTCATCCTATGGGTGTGTACTTGTGATCTCCATTTTCCCACTGTATTTTGAAAAACAAACAAACAAAACACTGCATCTACAGCAAGACGAAGTGGTAAAAAGTTCACCCACAGAACCTTTACCTGCATTTGCCTGTTGTTAATGTTTTGCCACATTTGCTTTATTTATCTACATATAATTTCTCTAGTTAAAAAGTAAGTTATAAATATGACATTTCAACCTTTGTGGCTTCAGCTCGTACCAACTAGAAACAAGAGAATTTCCCTGTACATCCACCATGTCATTATGTCACCCAAAACAGTTCGCACTGATACAGTGACCGTGTCCGGTAAGATGTCCATGTCTAAATACACCTAATTATCCCCAAAATGCCTTTTAGCCTTTTTTTTTTTTTACTGGTTTGTTTAACCCAGGATCCAATCATAGCTGATGACTTCCATTTGGCCGTCGTGTCTCTTTATTTTCCTTTAGTCGAGCACAGTCCCCTGCCAGTGTTTGCTTTCATGACATTGATATTTTCAAAGACTGTCTTCTAAAATGTTCCACAGTCCAGATTTGCCTCGTTTCCTCGTGACTAGATCCAGTGTAAACATTTCAGCAAAACTACTGTATGTACTGTCAGTGACATCCATGACGGGGGGAAGAGCCGTCGATTATCCTGTCGGTAATGCTGATTGTGACCCATCAGGTTTATCTGTGTAAAAACACCTTCCCCCCCTTTAACTATGGCGTCTCCTGAAAACATGTGAATGCTTCCACTCCAACAGCTCTGCACCCGGTGCTGAAAATGCCTCAGTCATTACATTGGGTGGTTGCAAAACTCTCTTTTTTCTTCTACATTTTTTAGTTGGCATTCTTCTGTAAAGAACAGCTTTCCCTGCACCCTCCTCCTTGCCTTTTTCTTTGAGAAGCCCTACGGACTTAGATTCTTTCTTTATTCACTTGTAGCACCTTATTCTTTCTGATACTCAAATTCTGCCTGATCTGGCCCAGGGAGCTGCTTCGTGTAGCGTTGATTAGCTTGCGTGTCCTTCTGGCATATCCCAGTCTTTCAGGAATTCTGAACCAACTGGCAAGAAGCATGGGCTCCCCTTACTGGGTTATTGATCAAGGTCTCTCCAACAGAACTGGTGAAGGTGTCCCCCAAGCCACAGGGGATCTTTAGAGAAGGCTGGATACTTAATTTAACAAATACCAGGTTTCTTTTATGAAGGCAAAAGAGTCATCGATAATGGGTTTAAGCTGGGTTGATAACAGCTCACCGAGACTTTGATGTAACCAGGTCCTTAAGGAATATGAACCCAGCAAATTCCATCCCAGAGAACACCGCTGGAGCAGTGGTTATTTTTCTATCTAGCAAGCCGACCTTCCAGGACGTCCATCCCTGGGTCCCTAGAAGGCCATGTTGTCTTTTGGGGGAGAGGGCGCCTGTGTTTTTGAACAGCTGGGCAAAAGGTCTATTTGCAGGCATCCCGCAGCCCCAGGCAGGTGCCGAATATCATCTGGCTCCTCAATTTAACCCCAGCCAGAGGGTTTTCCAAACCAATCCACTTTAGAATCAAGTTTGTTTTTTTCTGGTCAGGCTTCAAAGATTTGTTGGATTTCAGGGTTTATCCAAAAGTTTAATGGACAAGTGGGAGAACTCGGGCACCTGGTTCATCTAAGTCCCTAAGAACGCTTCTGACACAGGCAACCCCAGCTCCGGGGAGACGCTGAAGTTAACCCAATGCTAACTTTCCACAGACGTGCCTACACCACAGGTGGACGTGGATTCCCAGTTTATCAGTAGGAATGTTGTCACAGCATTGATTGGTTTCTATCTCAAATCTGTCTTGTGGGGTGTTTTTGTAACCTTACAAAAACTTTGTAACCTTACAAAAAAAATCTGTCTTGTGGGGTGTTTTTGTAACCTTATAAAAACTTTGTAACCTTACAAAAACTTAAAAAATTTTTTTTAATATGCAGTTAATTTTTTCTAAAGGTGTATATCCATGGATAATTTACCTGTGGCTTTTTGTAACCCCTTTAGGCGAGCTTTTTCATTGTAATCTTTAAAAACGACTTAAGGAAGCATTTGAGATCTCGCTTCCTGGCAATGGTTCCAGTTTTAACTCAAACTCATGAACATTCTCTGAAAAATAAAATTAAAAAAACAATTTAATATTGAATATCTCTCTTAAATGTATGCTCTAACAAAAATATGTGATCCCACTGAACAAAAATGTATTTATTTATTTATGTATTTATTTAAGATAACAGTAGTATTGCTTTTATTTCTGGGAAGTGACACTGACAGAAGCAACACTGATGAAAGAACTTGATAGTACATGAGACATTCCGTTAAGTCTATTGTCATAGACAAAAAGCAAAATGGCCACTGGAAATAAGGTTAGATTCCTAATAGTCTTGTCCAGTGAAGGTAAATAATTGCCATATTTATGCTGCAAAAAAACCTGATGTAATCAACATCATATCATCAGCTAGATGTTTTCTTTCTTTTTTAAATTTTATTTTAATCATTGTTCAAGTACAGTTTTCTCCCTTTTACTCCCATCCCAGCCCACCCACCCAACCCTCCCCACTTCCCTCCCGTTACCACCCTCCCCCTAGCTTTTGTCCATGTGTCCTTTAAATTTGCTCCTGTAAACCCTTCCCATTCTCCCCTGAAATTCCCTCTTCTCTCCCCTCTGGTCACTGTCAGTAAAAATTTATTTTTGAGGAACCTTAAACCCATGACAATTCAAGTGATCAAAACTACAGACAGCAAGAACAATGACATCACACACTGGTTGGTCGCTTCCCCTCATCGTGTTTCCCTTCCTCCTTTCCAGCAGCTCTGGGCTGTGGGCGGTGGGGGCGGGGGGTGGGGTGCCCACAGCAGTCCGAAAAAGCTGATTCCACTTCTCTGGTTCCAGTGAATGACTGGGGAATGGGGGCTTGTGACCTAAGCCAATTCAGTTAGAATGAATCTCAGGACGAGTCTGGCTTGGGGACACACATGTTTTCCCTTCCCTGCTCGATAGGAACAAGGATTCCAGTGATCCCAGGAGCTGTTGGCAGTTACTTTTGGTTCCTGGAGTATTATTCAACCGTTTGTTTATTCAGCAAACATCTACTGTGTCCCAGAGATCAAAATATGAAATTGAGTAAGCCACGGTTGCTGTGGTGAAGATATTTATATTCTCAGGGAGAAAAGAGGCAGGGAGGTGCAATGGGAAAGGGAGCAAGCAGGTCAACATTCACGAGAGACAAATTCTCGGGATGAATCCGATGGGCTGATTCAGGATATAGAAGTGGCTGTATCTGGGTATCCTTTTTATTGAGTTGATATCATTATGAGTCTGCTCCAAACCATCCAATTAACTGTGGCTTTAGTGAAATTTCTTGCAGTAACCCAGCTGCAACAGGGAAGGTCTCCTCAATCCTCAATCACTGGCTACTATCCTATTTCAAGGTATAACCTTAACTTGAAAACAGGCTTCTGGCTCCATATAAATGCTTGGACAGTGATGTCAATAATAACATCCTCATTGTTAAAGTGGCAAGTAAGACATGGTGTATTGAATATGCGTTAAATATCATTTAGGGACAAGAAGCAATAGCACACCCACCGTTACCACATTAACACTACCCGGCCCATCTGAATGATTAGACAGGTAATATACAGCTGGGTCCAGTGGAAGGAATATCTTCCTAGGGAATCTTATTAGAATCTGCTGGGTAGTGTTTCCTAACTAAACACACCTCACCCTGGGCTTTCCAGGTGGGCCCCTGCCTGAAAAGCACTGCAACAGTATATCACCTCCACTGAGGGCATTCTCTCTTCCTTACCTTAGGGTGGGAAAATCACTGAGGCCTCGTCTATTGAGTTGCAGTATTAAGAGAGGGCTTTGAAACAATGCACTGGAGGAAAAAAAAGCAAATTGTCCAGCCCATGGTTGATAACCAGAATCATAAAACCATGTATAAATGAAGTCTGCTCAGAAAGTATCCAGCCATGTACTATGAAAAAGAGACATTTATTGAAGAAGACACAAGAAACATTGTGCATAGGACAATGAGGTCTCAGTCCCCTTCAGAGTAGGCACCTTGGGACCTCACACAGTTCTCCTAGTTTCTTCCACTGTCCCAAACACCGCGGGATCCTTTGTTGGAATCGCCATTAGCTGCCCTGTCGTATTTTCCTGAATCTCATTGATAGTCTGAAATCTCTTCCCTTTCAAAGGTGATTTTAGTTTTGGGAAAAGCCAGAAGTTGTACGGCAGCAAATCTGGGCTGAAGAGGGGTCTGAGTCACCTGGGTGATTTGATGTTTTGCCAAAACTCTGCACCAGACGTGACGCAAGAGCAGGCATGCTGTGGTGCTGAAGCTGCCAGTCGCCAGTTGCCCATAGCTGCAGCCTTCCACATCATTTGCATAGTTTCCACAGAGGAATGTTCAAGCTTAATGCAAAATTTGAGGTAGATTTGTTGTTCTACTTGCTCAATCGTTTTGAATGGGACAGCCTTACAGTATACGTGCTCACTCAATGGCGTCTACCGCCCCCACTGACTAGTACAGTGAAGTCATCATTGTTCACACATGCGCATCCCAGCCCACTCTCCTTGGCTGCCGGGTTACATCGATGTCGCACAGACCATTCTCCTTACATTAACAATGGCTGGACTTTTTCTGGACAGACCTTGTATATCATGTGTGTGTAGGAGCGACGATCAGTGCATTTCCTAACACTGGCCGAAGATGTAAGGAGGGAAGTCATCACCATCGAATCCATACCTGAATTCTGACATAAAACTTAGGGATCAAGTGTTGTGGAGAGATCATTCACACCAACGGCTTCTTATTGCCACGGGGAATGTAAAGACCTTTTGCCGGGGGGGGGGGGGGTCACATACAAAAATCACCCAGAGGTAAAATACTGGCCTACTACACAAAATATCTCTGTCCAGATAGGGGACTCACTATGGACCTGTGAATGTCTAGCAAGAGTAATATTTGTTGCCTGAAGTATTGCACCCTGTGCTTTAGAGAAATGTGGGAATGGCAGGTGACACGGGGTAGAAGATTACAGGGCAGCTGAAATGGATAGTGAAAAAGAATTGTTAAACGTCTTTATAAATTTTTCTCCTGATTTTACGCATCTCTACAAGTACATTCCAAGAATGCAAGGAAATGGCAAATTATGTGACAGCATGGCTTTCATACACAGGGTGGGGCAACTGCCAATCTCAAATGTGTTGAAACTAATTGTCTCCTCATTTTATCGATGAAACTGATTGAGGCTTCAGTCCAGCCTTTTACTAAATTTTAAATTAGTCTTCCAACAGACTTCCAATATTTTAGAAAAGGGTAACAATGATTCTTTTTTTTTTTTAACATGTCCCTACTATGTAGCTGTAGTAGGGCTTCTCAATGTAAAACATTACGGGTTTATAAAAAATCACCCTTTAAAATCAGCCCTCACAAGATCCAGGTGGGTCTTAAAATTTTGGACTATATTGCTTAAAAAAAAAAAAAAAAAAAAAAAGGCCAGCGGTGCCAGTGATCTGTTTCGGAGGTCTTCGAACTTTAAAAACGTAACAAGCTGAAAGCCTGTCAAGGCGGTAGCTTCTTAGGTTCCTCAAGTCACAGGGAGTTCACATGGGCACGCTATTCCAAATGCCAGCGTCGGGCACACGAGCGTTCCCTGGCAAATACAATGATTGCCCGAAGATGAAAGGTCGGGGGAACGGTTTCTTTGGCCAAACTGTCGTGGGGGCAGTTTTCCAAGAGCGTTACACGCCAGGGGCAACCGTTAGGCCGAGGGCAGCCGCGGCCAGCGCGACCCTCCCGGGCGCAGAGGCCGGGGACTCCCTCCCGGTCCGGTCGCCCCTGCGCCCCTCGGGCCGCGCGTCGCCACCTCCGCACCGTGCAGCGTGGGCGCTCGCCCAGGACCCAGGTGTCTGGTCCGGGGCCCCCACAACCCCCAACCCCCAACCAAGGTCACAACCCTGCTGCCCGCCGGGGTCCGCGATCCTCAACGCAGAGTCCGCACGACCGACCCTTGTCAAGTTGGGGTGGGAGTTAACCCATTGCTGCCTTCCAGAAGGCTGGCCAGGCTGCAGCAGCCGGGAGGAGGTCCCGCTGGGGTTAGCGCTCTCACCGACCAGGGACCCCCCACCCCGCTTCCCGGGGACTCGCTCTCCGCGCCCGCGACGCGCAGGCGGAGGTGGGGCGGTGGCCCAAGCCAAGGGCAGAGCGCCGTATTAGTAGTCCAAAGTGGGGCTAGGGCCCATCGAAAAGGTTAAATTCCTCACTCCCCTCCAATCACGTGCGACCCGCACGCTCCTCGCCCCGCGCGGGCTCACCTGGCTGCCGCCCACAGTCCCACCCGCGTCCTCCCACCGGCTGCCACCACCCAGACCTTAAGACCACGCGGAAACTGCCGAGAGGGAGGTGGCCGGGCAGCAGTTGGGCGTGGCCTCTCCGAGAGAGGCGTCCCCTGGGGGCGGGGAGACCTACGCAACCGTCGGCTCCGACCGCTGATTGGCTGAGGTGTCTGAGCGGAGCCCACAAGCGTCTCCACCCGGCACGGCCTCCTCGCCTCGTCTCTCAGCTGCTCCGTCCGCTCCGGCTCGCGAGGGAACCGCTCCAGCGCCACCGCACCCAGCACCCTGAGGACGACAGGACCGAGGGAGGTGGAAGGAGGACCCGCTCGCTCGCTCGCTCCCAGCCGCACCGGGGACCCGAGGGCCGGAGCGGAGGCCGGGGGGGAGGAGCCGCCGCGGGCACGCCCCACCCCCGGCCCGGGAAGACGACTCCCGCGACCCCGCCGGCCGGCCACCGCCCCCTCCGCCGGCGGAGACCCGCCCCTGATCCTCCCCCGGCGGCATGGAGGAGCCCCGCTCCTGACGGCCGCGCCGCGCCTCGGCCTCCGCCCCTCCGCCCGGCCCCTCCCGCCCGCCTCCGCTCGCATGTCCGCGCCGCCTTAGCCGAGGATGCTGAGGATGAAGCTCCCGCTGAAGCCGACGCACCCCGTGGAGCCGCCGCCCGAGGCGGAGGAGCCCGAAGCGGATGCGCGGCCAGGGACTAAGGCGCCGCCGCGGGTCCGCCGCCGCGACTGCCGCCCCACGCCGCCGCCGACGTCTCCCGCGGGCCCGTCGCGGGCCCCCCCGCCGCCGCCGCCGCCCCGGGGGCTCGGGCCGCCTGTTGCTGGCGGAGCCGCGGCGGGGATGGGCACGCCGGGCGGCGGCGGCGGGCCCGCGGCGGCGCTGCGCGAGCAGGAGCGGGTGTACGAGTGGTTCGGGCTGGTGCTGGGCTCGGCGCAGCGCCTGGAGTTCATGTGCGGGCTGCTGGACCTGTGCAACCCGCTGGAGCTGCGCTTCCTCGGCTCGTGCTTGGAGGACCTGGCGCGCAAGGACTATCACTACCTGCGAGACTCGGAGGCCAAGGCCAACGGCCTCTCGGACCCGGGGCCCCTGACCGACTTCCGAGAGCCCGCCGTACGCTCGCGGCTCATCGTCTACCTGGCGCTCCTGGGCTCGGAGAACCGTGAGGCCGCCGGCCGCCTGCACCGCCTCCTGCCCCAGGTGGACTCGGTGCTCAGGAGCCTTTGCGCGGCCCGGGGCGAGGGCTCGCGGGGCGGCGCGGACGGCGAGCGCGGAGAGGACGGGGTGGGCGAGGAGAACGCCGAGAAGGACGGCTCCGGCCCGGAAGGCAGCGGCGCCGAGTCCCGGGCCGGCGATGGGCTGGGCTTCAGGGCCCAGGAGGAACTGCTGCTGCTCTTCACCATGGCTTCGCTGCATCCGGCGTTCTCCTTCCACCAGCGGGTCACCCTGAGGGAGCACCTGGAGAGGCTCCGCAGCGCGCTCCGCCGGGGCCCCGAGGATGCGGAGGTGGAGCCGTGCAACTTTGCCGGCCCCAGGGCCCAGGTAGGGCGCGCGAGCCTCCCAGCCCTCGCGGGGCCGTCCCCGCCCCGGCGGCCTCCCGGGCCTGGCTGTGGGGTACCCCTCGGCCGAGCCTGAGCGGCGCAGGTGGCTCCGAATCCCCACCCCATCCCCGTAGTACTAGTCTCCGTGTGGCTGGGCCGCCTCAGTGCCACTCACCCCCCCGCCCCCCCGGCACACAGAGGCACCCGCCATAACAGAAGGCTCTAGAAGTCTCTTCCGTAAAGGAGTTGCCACGGAAAACGTGGTGCTCTCGCCCCGCCCCCCCGGTTGAAGGGTCTCGGGGCATTTTCGGCCTTGAGCATCTCGGCCCCCAGGTGCTGGGAGAGGCGGAGAGCTCGAGGAGCCGGTGCGCGCGCCGCAGCCTGGCCGCTGGCGGAGCCTCGCCTCGCGCGGTCTGACGCTGCTCGCACGTTTTCCTGCTCGGCCGAGTGCCCCAAGGTGCGCTCCCCGCGTGCGCCTGTCTGGCGCAAAGGGCTTTTGTGTGTGTGTGTGTGTGTGTGTGTGTGTGTGCGCTGTGTGCTGTGTGCCTGCACTACAAGGGGTCCTAAGAGTCTTTGGCTCCAGCTGGTAGAACTTGATTTCCCGAAGAAATCAAAGTGGAGACCCGCGAATTGACTGCAAGTAGTTAAGTGGCAGCGCTGCTTGCCTGGGTAAGGGACCTCTGCCACGGCGGGCTGGTTATACCTTTACCTCTGGCACAGCCTGCTTCTAACGGACTGCAGCAGTGCCTACGCCTTTGGGCCCGGGACTATCTGCTGGGCCTTTACTGTAGACGTAAGAGTTATTTCCTAAAAAGTTATTAAACACCAAAGTGTAGGAAATGAGAGTCCAGGGGAGTCACTTGTCGCAGACATTAAGTACAAAATTTTTATACAGCCGTGAGAGCAACTTAATGATAACGTGGGCCCCATATAAAGTCCTTGAGCGTGACAATTGAATGGAGAAGGGAGGAGCTTTCACAGTAAAAACTGTGTGCAATAAGCTTATTTCTATGGTTCACACTTATTTAAAAGGTATTAATTTGGATGCCTTTTCAATTTGGGTGGTTTCCAGACTTGGTATATTGTAAGAGCCCCCCACCCCACCCCACCCCTCCCCCCTGGAAAGTTAATTGAACTCATGTATCTGATGTCACGCAGTACCCTGGAACTAAAACTGGACACTGTGTTTATCTAGTGACTTGTGGACTTTACCCATAGAATCCAGGAAATAGGGGTCTGGAGGATATTTCGTGGTAATGTAGGCTGAGCCCCTCCTCTTTAAAACGAGGCTTCTGTGAAGTAACTAACTCAATTTTGGGATATAATATCAAACTCAGATGTAGTAATGCCTACTTTTCTTAGCTTGAAATTTTACCGTACAGTGTTTACTAGCAGCATGCAACTGTGTATAGTGATGGTAAAAACCCTTTCAATTTTTCAGTCTCCTCACGGAAATAATTCAGAAAAGTTCTATATGCCACTGCCATTAAGTTTAGGAAAGAAAGCCTGCACTCGGGAGCAATGCTTACATTTTTTTTTTTAATTTCTTGATATAGCTTATATTGTAAAGATAACCTTAGATTATAATAATGAAAATGGAACCGTTTATATTATTCCATTCATATCATTAAAACAAGGGTAACCAATTTCTGATTTAATAGCTAGGAGTCTTTTTTTTTCCTTTCCCCCCTTTTAAAATTGTGCATATTGTTGCAAGTGTTGGAAGGCGACTAGGTATGGGGGAGATGCGTGCACACCAGAGTAGGAAGATTTTTATCCGGACTGCAGTGTGGTGTGCGGCCTTTGCTGGCGCCCGGGGAACGCTGGGCGTGCCCTCGCTACTTTTCAGCACCTCGTTCCTTGTCAGGCAGGGTCCAGTGCTGCGGCCACGAGCTGCAGTGGGGGAAGAGACCACCGGGGGTGCGGGGACTGCGGGGGCCGCTGAAGGCTATTTCTGGACACTGGTGATGCGTCCTGTGCTGTTCCCCGGCAGTGGTTGGCAGTCACCGTAACCAGTCACTTGCATCTCGCTAAGCGGCGACGAGCCCGCATTTTCTGCTTGTGAGCGTGGACGCCGGGTCCCCCAACTGTGCCATGCTCTGGCCATGCCATGGCCTGGCATTTCTGCTTCTGATTCCAGGGTGTCGCTCCAGAAGCCGCGGGCGGGGTGGATTGCATTCCATCCCGGTTCGCTGTGGTCCAACCCCCGCTGTTCTTGACCTCCCGTCGGTGACCCCGGGCGGGGAGCGCTCACCTTGGAGTCTGCAGGGAGGTGCCCCAGTCTCTTACGTCCTCCATGCGTCCTTCGTGCGTCAGCGCACAGGCGGGCTAGGGGCAGTGCGGGCCGGGGGGCACTGCGGGCGCAGTCACGGTCATGCGCTGCCCGAGACTGCGGGCCTGTCTCGAGGGGGCTCCTCCCTCCCCCCATCCTGCAAGATGGCGGCAGCGCGCAGCCCACGTGACTGTTGACTGGCACGCCGGCCCCGCCCCCGGGGGGCTGGCCGAGGGTGGGGCGTTTCCGGGGTGTCCCCTCCGGCGGGCCAGGCCCCTGGAAGGCAAAGGGGAGACCCGAGTTGCCCCGGAAGTAACCTTTAGACACATGGGTCTTTTTGCGTAGGAATGAATCCGTTTCTTACTACTATCTCAGCGTCGTCCGTGCCGAATGGGTCAAGTAGAACTGGGCGTTTAACTTTTCTGTATTATAGTAAAAGTCGACCGGCCCGAAATAGTGTTCCTGGCTCTTTCAAGACCTGTATTCCGTGCCGCGTGTACAGCAGCTTCTCTTACAAATTTTTTAAAATCATTTTTACAGGTAGAACAGGTGCTTTAACGCGAATTTTATATTAATTACATGCTTTCCAGTTGACTGGGCTTAGCAGCTGTTTAGTGGCATACCATGATTACAGCGTTAATAGCTGAGGTGACAAGTTCACAGACTTGACCGCTAGAATGTACCTACCAGGTCAGTTTAGAAAGCTGGAGGAGGATTAAACAAGTCTGTTTCTAATGGTAACCTGTATAGACTGGTGTGTGATTCGGATGGTTTTAGAGTAAATGTTACATTGGATGGTAACTAAGTGTTGGCATTGCTTTTTGAAGACTTAGGTTCTTCATACCTGTTGTTGACTTCCAGTCACTTGCATAAAATTCAACTAACAGGTCAGTGGGCAGCAGTGAAAATACTTACTAACAGCGTACCAGGAAACTTGGGTGATTGATGTAGTTACATGTTAAGAGAGTTACAGACTACATACATACCATAACTGAAAAGACCTGGTTTTGAAAGTGGGCCCTTCCTTGTTTGGACCCCAAACTGTGAACGATGTGTTAGCAATAGCAATGCCCCATGTCCCCCAAAACCCCTGCATAAATATTTTTAAAGGTAACAGTTTTGTGTGTTTTGGGGGTGGGGGGTTGTTTTGTTGAAAAGAGAAAAGACAGCCCAGCCTTTTCTCTTTGAATGTCTAAAGACACTTGTTAACTGTTTGTGAAAATGAATGTTAGATTTGTGGAGACTTAACCCCCAATTAGCAACACAAAGGTGAAGAAAGTGTAGTGGTTAGGTCTTAATGTCGTAGGTGTGGCTCTGTCTGTCTGGAGATTGTGTTTTCACTGTCCTCAAAAGGTGGTTACTTGGCACGGAGTAGTAATGTTGGAATAAAGATGGAAACTGTAGTACGACACATGATCATCCTGTGGCTTAGTGTTTTTTAAATTTCCAAAACTTACTTGATCTCCCAAAAATGAAAAGGCCATGGGTCCTTGACTCAGAGAAATCAGTGGAGTTAGTGAAAAAGAAAACTGCAAAACTGTTACTTTCTCATAGCATAGGTTAACTAGCTGTTTGTACTTGACAGTACAAGTACCTCAACTCATTTCAACTCGTACAGACTGTGTTTTGGTAATGTTGGGGCCTGAAAAAGAAAATTTTCAAAGACTTCTTTTAACGTAAATGCCCGACTCTAGGGTAACTTGAGTGTGTATGTGGCAGCCGGAACCTTAGTGAGACCGCTATCTTAAAATGAGAGGGGAGAGCACTGAAAAGATGCTTCCCAAAAGTGATTTTTAAAAAGAACAATTCTAAAGCTCACAGGTAATAAGTACCTTTAACTTGTTGGCTGCTAATGGGGTGGGGGGGGGGGGCGGTGGTTTACAGTGAGTAGCCTCACTGGGTGTTGTCCCCTTTGGAGAAGGCTTTCCTCCCTCCTGCAGAAGGGGTAATGGCAGTGCTTACATTAGGATCGTTGGGATTAAGTGAGCAGGTCCTTGTAGAATAATGCATGGCTCAGGGCCTTCAGTGAGTGTTAGCAATCATAGGGAAAAGTTAAGCCCGGTTTGGAAGGTGGTGAAAAAGTGGGTATAGCATCTCACAAATTGAGAGTGGTGTCAGAGCGAGCTGCATCTTTCATGGGAAACTGTAGGATGGTTTGGCTGCAGCAAAGAATAAAAGCGTTTCAGTTATATATGCCTTTTGGAAAAGGCTTTCGGAACATCAAAGTTAAAAAGTGATGATTTTAGTAACAAATGACAGCCATTGGGTTTCCTCCCCCAGTTACATAAGTTTCCCTGTGCAGTGGCTTTCTCAGGTAAAGAGAGCTTAGGAAAGTTGTGATTATACCTCAGGAGAAGAGGGTTGTGGATATGGACAGGAAACTACATCTTTTTCTGAAATTAACCAGTGTACTATGTATATACTTTTTAAAAACTTTCTTTGATGGTATTGGGTGGGGGAGGGGAGAGGCACTATGTGGTAGAGACCCTTAAAGGCGCTGAGTGACAGCCACATTTGGTGTATCACTCACCTAGACCTGGAGGCTTAAATTCCAGCTCCGCCTCTAGCTCTGATATTAACGAGCCCACTTAAATCCCTGTGCTGAAGTCTAATCTGTAAAATGGGGATAATCGTGACTGAGTTAATGAGATAAAATGCAAAATCACATACTATGAGGGGGGACCCTACCTGCCCCCCAGAATTTATTTATAAAAAATTGTGTATTCTTA